GGCTTATCCAGGTTATATCAATGGATAAATGATGGAACAAGGAATGGGCCCTTTGAGCTCCAGGCTGAGGATCTGGCTGCTGAGCACCACTGTCTCCCACCTGTTTTTATCCCAAATGACTAAATGATTTCAGTCAAACAATGAAAATCAGGCTCCCACTATTATTCACCAGCTTCGTTTCACGTGTGTTTCTTCACCTGGATTGCATGGAACTGTTCCCAACTGATTTGCTTCACCCTGTTACTCAGCCTTTGGGGTTAGACTACTCATGGTACAGCCTGAAGCTTTCTTAGTATCACCAGTGATTATGTTTTCATCATCTCGAGGGGGGCATATCTGATAACTGCCTAATTCCAGGACTATGATTTCACTGCCTGCAGTTTTTCCACTGAGGTGCTGCACAGCTGTGCCACGTTGGGGGCTGAAAACTCTCAACTCTTTGATGAAACTATGACAAAAACAGTCAGATTGATGTCAGCAGCAAGGAAGTTGATCGTAAGTGATGACACTGTAGAGGCTCACTCAGGATGTTTACCAGAGCAACAGTTGTCAAGCAAAGTGTGTTTGGAAGATGCATGAGCTGACTTTTTTTTCCTCCTGCAGCAACTGCTGAGGAGTGAAACATATTTCTTGTACTTACTTGCATTTTTGGTGACTCTATGAAGGCTTGATTCATTAATAGTGCCACCCCCACTTTTTTAAACTAGCAGCAAGGAAAGCTATCAGCTCAAGAGACTGAAGTTACCTGAAGGTATAGAGACTTTGGTGCCCAGTAGGCAGATTTGTTGAGAACAATTTAAAACTAAGTCAACATCTTGAGCTTTGTTCCACATCCTGTTTCCAGTGTGCCCTTACTGAAATGTAAGGAGTACTTAACTGACATTTGGTGGAGAAACATCTTCCTGCTGCAGTGTATTCCTCTCTGGCTACTGTCTATAATCCCAGAGACATCTCCCCTTTTCATTTCAGAACCCACTTGGATCACAAGGACCTTAGAAAATCTACTTCTATTGCAACCATGTAAACATTTAAACTCAACTTTCTTGATTTATCTTTTTTTTCCACACTAATTAATTTAATTTCATCAAAATGAAAGGCAGTTTCAATCTGAAAAAAAAAAATCCCCCCAACCTTGTTTTACTTAAACATCCACAAATGATACTTTGATAATCCTAATATAAGGTTAATTCCCATTAAACCTGGAATTGTATTTCCTGTAAATCATTTTAGGTTTCACAACTTGGCAGTAGCCCAAAGGAAGTATTTCATCTGACAGCTCCCAAAAATCTCTAAAGACTTACTTTCACTGTCACTATTTGGAGGAGCTTTGTTCCTGCTGTAAGTGGCTTATTTCCAGGATTGTTTCTTTACTTTCTGTAAAGACTGGTGGGCAGCAGAGCAGGAATATCATAGCTGAGAGAACAGAGGAACACCACCCAGCCACACTAAATGATTATACTTGTTGCTTGATCCTTGATGCTTTTCTGTTGTGATGGTAAAGAACTACAGGCTCATAGGCACATGCTTCCTTAACTCATGGATCCTGCAGAATTTCACTTCTAAATTTTGACCAGTGTAATCATCCAGTCTGATTTTTCCCAGCACAATTTTCCCTTCCCCATCCAGCCCTGAGGGATTCAGGGCTAGGTGTGTTGTAATAACATTGACACGTGTCTATTAGTGACTGTGGCTGGGATTAATGAATTGTTTTGCATAACCTAGCAAAGTGTTTTTTTATCACTTCTCTCCTGGGCTCAGTCCAGCTTCTGACATAAAGGTGGAAGCCTCTGTATCCTGTTACAGTTGTCTGGACAGTGAATTGATTTAGTGGATGGTTTTAGTAATAGGTGCTAAAGAAATGGTGGAATAGCCAGTGCTTAGCTTAATGGTTGTTCCTATTCAGGAGTGCCAGTACAAGATTAAACCATCTGAGATTATAAGGACATGTTGACCCATCTATATCTGCCTAGAGTTTGAAATCTGTTTAATATGTTTAGAACAAAGTTCTTACAATAAATGTAAAAAGTATTAAAGCCATCAGAGGATTCTAACTCTCTGCACCATCAAACCCCTAGTTTTGTCCCTGTTTTCAGCCCCGTGTTTATCACATCCTGGTGACCTATCAATCATCTTGAACCACAAACCAGAAAGGAAAATCCCTATGAGCACAGCACACTATCATTTCCTGGTTGCCATGGCATGCAGACTGTGGTTTTACCAAGAATTCTCTGAACAACCTTGTGTCTAAGTAGTCTTCTACAGGTATTTGTTGAAGGGGAGTAGGATTTATTCAGATCTTCCACTTTTTTACTTGTTTGTATTTCTGCAGTTGTTGAAATAACCTTTTAAAAAATATATATAAAACAGCATCCACCTTGACAATGAAACCTTTAAATATTGTTTTGATAACAATGAAAAGTGCATGAAACACCTGAAAAGTGGATCAAAAATCTTTGTGGAAAATCAACTCCAGTGGAAAGAGTTTTGCATGAGTCAATGTTACTCATTATGCAGCAGGGTTGCAGAACCAAGGTAGAAATGGAGATTGCACCTGGCTTCCTACTGTGACAGCTTCTAACAAGCCTCTAGAATTAATAATCAGGGTGTAACTCACACTTTCATGAAAGGACAATGCTCTTTAGTCTGTCTCAGCCAATTCTATCACATCAGGGGGCTCTAGCTGGCAAATGATCTGTGGAACTGGAGTGAGTGGTTTTGGCTGAGAAGTATTGATTGAGCCTAGTTTAGACACATGAATGCAGAGAGAGGGTCTTGTGTGCTTGAGACAGAGCACCAGAAATCCCAGAAAAGACAGGGAGAAATGACCTGTGTGAGAGTTAATGTTCTCCATGCCCATAAAACTCATCAGAGGCTGAGGGACATTCCATGGCCTTAGCTTGAGTCACCCAAGTCTCGTGGTCTAGATGAGATTGATGATGCTGACAATTCAGGCATGACTAGTACTTTTTGCCTCTTTTAAGAGCTCTTATTAAATAATTGTCTTTCAACTGTAGCAAATCATGTGGCTGTCAGCCCCCAAAGCCTGCCAGCTATAAGAGGGGGCAGAAGGGAAGGTTTGGATGCTGTTTGTGATTCCATTGTGAGTCCACTCTGAATCAGCTCCTTCAAAACTTCAAAAGGGATGAAGAAATCAGCAGTAGTTTGGCACAGAGTATGAGTTTTGCATTGCCTTGTCTCTCAAAACAAAAAATCCAGCTTTTGCATAACTGCATTAAAGCCATCTAAATAACATTAATATAAAATGAATGGATTTAAACTTCCTGCACTATGGGGAAAGGTGGAATATGTGTTTAGATTTGGATTTGGCAACCAGATTTCTTTCTTAACTCAAAACTAGTCTGTAAACCACAACATGGAAAAAAAGTATTAAAAGTGTTCACTTAGTTTAGACTCTGTCTTTTATCCTTGGAAAGTTTTGTATTGATATGACTGGAAATATTTTAAATAACTCAATTAAAGGTCCCTATTAAAGGTGTTAATATTTGAGGCCATAAAGTCAAAATTGTGGGAAGTGGGCTCTACATCTGTATTTTACCATTTTTAAAACGTGGTAGCTACTGTCTTCACAGAGGAGATGCTGGGTTTGGGCAGTTTGCTTCACTGTGAGATATCCTGTGAGTTTTAGGTTCTACTGTAGTTCTTCTTCCACACTCACTGCTTCACAGTGTCTCTGCTACAGCAGTGTTGCAAACATTCTTAATAGCAGGTGCAGAAGATACCATCAAAACACAAACAAAACATGCTGTCTCAACGTGGAGGGCAAAGTGCCAACCAATTGGATGGTCTCAAAACCAGTTTGGAGAATGGGATTGCCACATTTTTTTTCCCTGGGGTTTCCTGGACACCCACTTGATCTCCCACGCTGCCTCAAGGGAGGCTTCCTGGGAGATCCATCTCTGTGTGTGCTGTGCTTGTAGCTGGTCAGCACGTGTACAATGAGCCTGATGCATGCTCTAGACCCAAGCTGAGCATTGCCTTGGAAAATTCATGTGGGTAACTGTGGCCCATGAGTAGTTCCATTAAGTCTATTTATGTAAATCCTATTTATTCTAAGGAACTGGCTGCCTAATAAGTAGGATTCTGGCTATGACAGGATCACTGGGTGGTAATGGAGCACAAGTTGTCATGTTTTAAAACCATGAATGAGCTGAGGTTTGATGACAGCTGACTGCAATTCACTCTAAAAACCCATGAACTTAGTATTTCAGAGGATCTAGGATGAGCTGCAAGATCCAAATGCAACTCTGAGCAAGTGGATGTGGTATCTGTTTCCACAGGAAAAGTTCTTCAGAAATTAGCCCCAAATTATTGGAAGAGGTGTTGGTGTTCCAAACAAATCCAGTTCCAATACACTGAGCTTGGTACTTCTAAGTAATCAAATGGATTTTTGTGATCTGATCCTCAAATTTAATCTTAAGTCTTGGACTTCACAGAGTTCTTCCAGTATCTTAGGGGGGCCTACAAGAAAGCTGGGGAGGGACTTTTTAGGCTATCGAGTAACAACAGAACTAGGGGGAATGGGGCAAAGCTGGCAGTGGGCAGATTCAGGCTGGATGTGAGGAAGAAGTTCTTCCCCATGAGAGTGGTGAGACCCTGGAACGGGTTGCCCAGGGAGGTGGTTGAGGCCCCATCCCTGGGGGTCTTTAAGGCCAGGCTGGATGAGGCTCTGGGCAGCCTGATCTAGTGGGAGGTGTCCCTGCTCATGGCAGAGGGGTTGGAACTGGGGGATCCTTGTGGTCCCTTCCAACCCTGACAGATTCTGATCTGTTTTAGCAGAGGACTTTAGAGCCCTAATGGCTCAAGGGTTGGACTTGATGATCTTGGAGGTCCCTTCCAACCTAAAGGATTCTATGATTCTATGTTTAATTATTAACACCTTTAGGCCTGCCTTGTTCTACAGGGAAGAGATAATATGAGATCCAGTGAATCATCCATCCCAACAATTTGTAATTCCCTCTTTTCTTTTCTTTTGGTAACAGAATTCAATGTGAGCTGCAGGTATGGAGGAGTTTTTCACGTGGAGAAAAACGGTCGCTACAGTCTCACACGATCTGAAGCAGCTGACCTCTGCAGAGCTCTCAACAGTACCTTGTCAACACTAGAGCAGCTGAAGAAAGCCCATGAACTTGGCTTTGAAACTTGCAGGTAAAGGAATCCTTGAAAAATAGATCATGATAAATCCATCCATGCTATAGTGTGATAATTACAGTTGACTTCATATAGCCATTAATTAGATGCCTGTATCACTCCTCCAGTAATTTATATCTTTCTACCAATTATCTTGAAAAAAAAAAGGCATAACCTCTTCTAAAGATAACAAAGGATTGACAGGATGATAAACTAATTAGGAACATATTCAGATCCTACTGTATCACTGACTAATTGCTAAGATAAGGATGTGAAATGTACTTACGGTTTTTGATGACCTGATGTGAGGTCAAAGACTGAGGAAGGTATGGGGAGCTCTGTCTTGTCAAGGAACAATAAAAAACAGCAAGTGGTACCATGAGGGATGGGCTCTTGACATCCCAGTGAAAAAATGGCCACGGAATAATCTGTGAATGGAGAAGGTTCAGGAGACAAACAGAAAAGTGATTAAAAAGAACCCAAAACCACATCGTCCAATCGCTTAGTTACCCTCTGTAATTAATGTTGTATATAATTTATGTTGATGTTGTATATATCCACAAATGTGGATAATACAGGCTACAGTTTAGTGAAAAATAACTAGACCAAGAGACTGGAAGTTGCTCCCAGAAAATTCATCAAATTGAGTACTCAAACAGCAAATTATGTAAGGATAGCAATTATTGGGTGAAACAACTTACAAGGGTTAGATGAGATACTCTGTCACACCAAAATTTCATCAAGGGGAAATATTTCCCCCAAGGATACCATCTGTTCAAACAGTAATCAAGTTGGGACAGTCTGAAAATACATCAAACTAGATGATCATGTGATCTTGCTTTCCAAAATATAGAATACATTTATCAGGTAAATCATCCTAAATGTTCAGATGCAGAAAAAGAAGATTAAACTCAGGAAGTGTAAATGTGATATTTGGTATGGGTTTTTTTTTAGAATCAAACAGCATGGATTCATGTTGGTAAAGCATTGTACAGTTGAAATAAATTTGGGTGGATTTTCAACTTTATTGCAGTCTAATATAAACAGCAAATATGAAATGGAATCTGTCTTCTAACTGACTGGAGTAGATGGCAGCATATGAAATGTTCTTTTACATAAGGATTATGTCCTCCATGGTGGTGAAAGAAGAGGACAATAGTGACAAGGAATAATGGAGAAAAAAGTTCTTAGGAGATTCTTCTGTGAGAAGGGGGAATGTTGTTTAAAATAGTAACACACAAAGACTAGAGCCAATTCTTTACCCTGAGAAGAGTCTTGCCTAACATATTAGGTATGGTCTTTCTCTATAATTAACATATGAACACTGTCAGCATTCTGAATTGGCCAACTCTAGACAATAGGTAGAGACTCAGGACCACATCCTGACTCAACACCTTGGGTTGGAGATTTCTAGTTCTAGCAATCATGAGCATTCTGCAATGTGGAAAGTCTTTTCTGAAGTTAAAATAAGTGAAAGAAGGAGTAGAGAGAAATATTTTTGCAGTGGGGAGCTGTGGTTTTTCATTCATGTTGCCATCCTTCCTAATTCTCAGCTCAGCAGAGGACAGATTTGAACATGTAAGGCATGTAGATAGGAGTCCTTCCTTCCTTCCTTCTGACCAGCCCTCCTACTCTCTTACTTTCATTTGTTGATCCTCTGCTAGAAATCCTTTCCAGTAAAGGCTCTTATCAAGCTTCAGTAGCAAAAATACATTGCATATAATCTCCAAAATACATGTGGAATAGCGAGTGGAGAAGGTGAGGCCACACTTGGTGCATTCTGAAGCTCTGTTAACCAGTTTCCACTGAAGTTTGTAAGCTCTGTGCACAACAGCCACATTGTTCAGCTGAGAGGTGCAGTAAGAACTTGGAGATTAATGTTGTCTCTGAATATTATACCAAGCTGGCAGCTTTTTCACAAAGCCATGTCTCACAGTCATTCTCTAAATTTGCTCACCTACTATAAACCAAGCCCCCAACATTTCATAGAATCATAGAATCATAGGGAATTTGCTCACCTATTATAAACCAAGCGCCCAACATTTCCATGTGAAATGTCACTGGGCAATATGTTATACTCAAAACAATGAAAACGTGTCTCCCTGAAGAAAGAAGAAGACACTCTTGAGTGTCAGGCAATCAAACCTCACCCTGAATAAAAACTGCACTTGCCTTCCAGTCCCTCACTCTCACTGTATTGCTCTGGAATTGATCATCCTAGCTAATAAGATGGTCATGGGATTGGGTTTAGCTCTAGAAATGACATGCAAAATGGTGTTGAGTAGCTGGGAAAAAAGGAACACCCTTCATATACAAAAAGCATGCCTCAAGTATGCACTTCTAAAAATTAATGTGAGGTGAAAACGTGGCTTCTTGATAGCTTCTTCATGTCTGAGATGTCTAGAATGTTTATGGCATTCTGTGATTACCTGCTCTAAGATGTAACATGGTGCATTTTCCTTTGTTCTTCACAGGTATGGTTTTGTAGTAAAACATTTATAGCATTCTGTGATTACCTGCTCTAAGATGTAACATGGTGCATTTTCCTTTGTTCTTCACAGGTATGGTTTTGTAGTAGGGCATGTTGTTATCCCTCGAATCAATCCCTATCCTCTCTGTGCAGCAAATCACACTGGTGTGTACAAGCTCTCAGCAAACACGACTGGTCGGTATGATGCCTACTGTTACAATGCAACAGGTAGGTATTTATTTTTAGGATGGATTTTAGATATAGATTAACTCACAGTAACATATACCCTTTCCTAATTAAGGTGTTGATATTTAACATAAAAGTTCTCATTCCATCTCTTTTTCAACTGAGAAGAAATCAATTTTATCAAAGCCTCTAGAAGACTATCTCTAACAGCAGCAATAAATTTGACCCATTTTGTGATTAGTGGGTTTTGAACTAAACCCATTTTCTGCTCTTTGGATGCTCAGCTCTTCTGCTCATACTCACAAGAGCTTCTAGAGCAAAAAGCAACTATTTGTATTAAGGGATGGTAGGAGTGGCTGCCCCCTGCCACAGCTCCAAGGGCCAGAGTTGCCATCTCAGGAGCCAGGACGTGGCTGCTGCTCTGCAGGTTCATCCAGGATTTGCTCTCAGGAAAATCTCCATCCAGATATTAGGCTGTTAGAATTCAGAAGAAAACTGATTTTTTCTAAGGTATTGAACTTTTAAGTAGTTGGAAGTACTCATAAGTTATTAGGAAAATGTAGATAATCTTGTGACAGATGCAGAACACAGTATTTGAAGGTGAAATCTGAATTAAATTCAAGTGCCTTGAATTTCAGTAGATGATACCATTCATGGCTGAAACTTCTTAAAGAAAAATGTAGGAAAAAATCATTGATGATTTGAATGGTAGTGACATTTTTGGATTTTATTCTTGTGGTCATAGCATCAAAATTCATCTTTGTATTGGCATAGTAGGGGGTGAGCCATTTTGGTTGTGGAAATGGAGAATCTCACTGTTGGCTGACTGAAAAACTTTGAAGTGTCCCACCTGGGAAGGGGCAAAAAGGAAAGATCAATACATCATATTTGACTTGGAAATTTGTTTTCAAGGGTCCACGTGTGAAGCTGATGTTTTGTGATGATGTGCAATTAATATGACTATACATGGGACTCGTTTCTCAATTTGCTCAAATTAATAGTTTCTATTTTCCTTCTTTTACAGAAACAAGGGACAAAGCTTGTGAGCCAGTTGAAAGACTAGATACTTCTTTCCTCAAAAATCAGAGTGAAATAGGTACTGTATTGATTAGAAAGACCTAAGACTTGTTTCATTTTTAGGATCTTATCTTTTTTCACAGAAACTAATATTAAGAATGAAGCCAAACGTTAGAAAAAGAAGTCAAGATATGTTCAACAGCAATTAAAGCAATTAGTCCTTTGTCTTCACCCAAATCTGTGCTATCATAGGTACTACCAAACTTTTTTTTTTTAATATAGGTATTTGACATTTTTTAACATCTCAGAGCTGCTTATGGTGTTTTTTTTTTTTGACATATAACTTTGATTAAGACCTTTCTACATCTCATTTGAGCTTCTGGTCAGAAAAGTACTTGGAAGTTGAAGAAAACTCTCATAATAAATAATTTGTCACGATTCTAAGATTCTGAGTGACTTTCCAGAGACCAAGATTTTATGCTCAAAAATCAAACTACCTGGTCAAAATATCAAAATATTCAATGCAGAATAGGCCCTATCTATTGGACAAATACATATATGAGTGTATATACACGAGACAAAGTGAGGTATGATCTAGACAGATTAAATAGGATGAAAAAAGATAGAAAAAAAAATGAATTGCTTTTAATCCACAACTGTTTCTCTTTCTAGTTTTGTTATAGGACTTAAGCTGTTTAGCAGTACTCAAATATATCTGTGTAGCTCCTTGATGCTATCATCTGCTTAATTTCCTCTTTCTACCAGTCATTGACAATGCAGATGGCTCACGGTATCATGCAGATGGCACACGACACAGTGGAGAGTCCTCAACCTCAGGTCCAGATGATGAAAATGTAGGGAGTGGATCAACCCATGACACAACCCCCATGGATACCTCCATCAGGAGGTCCAGCCCCTCATATTATGGAAGTGTTACTCCAGTCTCACAGCTGCCAGATCATTCTTCTGGAGCGGGTGAAAGAGAAGTTACTAGAAAAGATTCTGGTAAGTACATTAGGTTACCACTGTATCCCTTTTAAAATAATTGAAGGATTACTTTTCTAGTTAGAGGGTATGATGAGGGACTGAGAAACACCATTTCTAATTTGTATCCTGGAGAAGTAAAAAGGAGAATGTGTGTCTTTGAAAGAAAACAGAAGCATCCTGAATTTTGAAGCACCGTGCCCAGGTGGCCAAGAAGGCCACCAGAATCCTGGCCTGGATCAAAACCAGTGTGGCCAGCAGCAGCAGGGAGTGATCGTGCCCCTGGACTTGGCACTGGTGAGGCCACAGCTTGAGGGATTCAAATGTTATTAATATCTTCTTCCTTTAGGTGATAAGGCCAAATACTATTTTCATTAAGCCCTACCAAATGCAAATGCCATATTCTTTTCCTGGGCATTCTGCAGGGTGAAAAATCAGTGAATTAGATTGTTTTGTTTCTATCTTGCTTCCTTCTGAAGTGGCATGTGGTTTATTTAATCATTTATGCTGCTCGTGTGGCTGAAATCATCAGAGGTATGAAAGAGTAGCTCCTGTTGAACCTTAAGGGATACAAATATAATTAATCTGCTAAATACAGTGAAGTTTACTGTGTGACCTGTGACTACAGACTTCTTATCAAATCACCTCCACTTGACAGTGAAGGATCCCAATAGTTTCCTTCATTCTCCTTAGATTTTTTGGACTAAATCTCAGAATGTATCTCAGAAAACAAGGGACTATGAATATCTTCACTGAATGCTCTAGAATCCCTGTCCAGATGGTATACAAGTACAATTAGAGCTTGTATCAAATGAACACATCATTGCTAGAATGTTCATTATCACTTAATATACTCTTCTTTTGGTGACATCCTTATTAAACTAGTAAAGTTGGGGTTAAATTATCTGAAGAACTTTATCTTTCTTCTTCCTTGAACCAATAAACGAAGGAATGAAGCTTGTAGTATAAAATAACTGAAGTGGTTGTAAATACTGAGTTGCAATTCAGCTAATGAACTAATAATGATTCACCCATCACCCTCCAGATGATGAAGTTTCTCCTGTATCACCCTTGGGGACGACAGCTGATGATTACCCTGAAGGAGATGGTGGAGAATATCCTACAAGTACTAGTAAGATTTATTTATGATAATAACTACATCAGATATGGATTGCATTAAAACTGCTTTCTTTTTTTCCAGCAGGGCATTCTGGTAAGTGGTGAAGTAGACATCTACCATTTCAGAAAGACATTGAAACAGTGCTTTACAGATTGGTTAAATCAGAAATAAACTTCCCTCTCTGGGAGAAAGGGAACAATAGTGTTTACTCAATGTTTACTTCAATGCTTACACATGAGTTCCTAAAGACTGTTGTTTGGCTTTCCCACTGTTTTTTAATCACACCTATTTACTCTATGAGGCCCCACAAATGAGTGCAACCTATTATCATTGGAAGTCGAATCATTTCCAAGGTAGAAAAGGACATTTTTGTCACTTTGTGATGAAGGGGTCTGTGATTCTAATGTACTGGTGGTTGTGAATGTGGGTATTCTGTGCCAAAACCATAGTCTCACTCATCAAAGCAGTGCTTTAAGTGGCATTTCCAATTGCCAAGCCACTTGTGTGCTGCAAAAACTCATTTCATCCTTGTTGTTGGCAATAAATATGAGAAGAAATTGGGGCCTGTGGTGGCTCCAAAGAACAGTAGTCATCTTTTCTGCTTTGTCCTTAAATAGCTGTATTTAGGGGGAAAAAACTGTGCTGTTTCTGTCAGATCTGTAGTGCATAGCAGCTACAGCAAATAAACTTTATAGCATTTTACATGTGTTAAAGTGGAACTGTACCCATATCACTCTAGTTCCTAAATTTAGAGTGGTAAAGATCTTTGCCCCAGAAAATAAACTTAACCTAAAGGGAGGACGTGCTAATTATACAGAGATCATCTACAGAGGTGTGTTCTAGTAAGGACTGAACTGATAGAAAAGAGTTTTTTTTCCTGCTGTATC